AAACAACAGAACAACTAGTTGCTATGACATGTGCTGACCACAAGGGGGCATGCGTGCAACATGGCAGGCATTGGCAGCAGGCAGCAGAGTGTGGAACATGGTGGGTATTGTCCAAGGCAGGATGGTGGAGCAGGTGAGCGGGGGCGCCAGACCAAGGTGGGGCATGAGGTGCTGTCATCAGGTGAGTCTCTGGTGGTTACTGAAAATTCTTTGCTTCCACATGCCACAGTTCTGCCCATTGCTTGCACCTACTGCTAGTGCTGGCCCAGATTACTCAGTGCCATTAGCAAGTGTGTATGGTGGCTGCTGGCCCTAATTGCCCTTCAGGGCTTCTCCATCTCCCCCTGCTCCTCAGGGGCAATCAGGGCCAGCAGCCGTCTTTTGCACCCGCTGCCAGTGATGGCCCCACTTGCACCTGCTGCTGGAGCTGCTGTTAACACCCACTGTTGGTGCCAGCCCCGCTTAAATCCACAGCTGGCATTGGAGCCGCCACTCACACCTGCTGCCAGCACCTGGCACCTGTCCCAATTGCCCTTGAAGGCTTCTCCATCTCCCCCTGCTCCTGAGGAGCAACTGGGGCAGCAGCCACTGCTTGCACCCACTGACAGTAACAGCCCAGCTCACACCCACTACTGGTTCCGGCCCCAATTGTTCCACCCCATCAGTGGGAATGAGCAGGTCTGGTGCCATCAGTGTATGGGAGTGGCAATGGTGGGAGCAGGGCTACTGGCAGACAGAGGATCAGGAGCTGTGATGAAAGGGGCCGAATGGGGTGCAGAGGATGGGCTGAGACCCACCCCTGTGCCCACCGCAGACTCACAGCCCACAGTTCTTTTCAAAGTGTATGAATTCATGCACTGGGCCCCTAGTAACTATATATGGTGCCAGGTGGTTACTAGACTTATAGGGATGATAACTTCCCAAGGTATATAAATGTCTAATCATGATGTTGTACATTTGAAACCAATATAATACTGTATGTCAACTGCAACTAAAATATACAAAACAGCAACACTTGATGAACAAATTGTATCACAAAATTGCAAACATTACCTACTGCACAGTACTCTGACGCATCTACTGAGATGTATAAGTTATTTAACTTCTACTGCCAAGTTACTTAATATTTATACAGACCAAGGAAACAAAACTCTCCTATATAAATCTATGGTTATATATTATAGCACTTTCTGGTCCTTAAAAGTTATTTCTGTGCATGTCTATTTAGATACCCATGTCCAAGTACATGTATCACTATAGCCTATGACTCTGATGCTTAACCCAATGCTTGCCAAAGCTCAGGCCCATTTACTCAGTGTATGTAGTCGGTTGTATCATAGTTGTACACGAATAGGCAAGTGTGTAGGAAACAAATGTACATCAAATTTCATATCATTATTTTAAAGTGCCATTAAAGTATATAAGCACATAAAATACTGGGCAGAGAACAGATAATAAGTGTGGTTACTATATCACTATATTTTTATTTAGTTATTAATATGTATGAATATCAAATTACTCTGATATATTTTATGGTGTGTTATAGGCAATAGTCACCTGAAAAATAATTATCTAAAAATCACCCTGGCTCTGGCTGGGTGGATCAGTTGGTTGGAGTGTCATCCTGTGCGACAAAAGGTCAAGTCTGGTTATGTCACATACTTAAGTTTCGGCCTTGACCCCCAGTAGGCAACCAATTGATGTTTCTCCCTCTCTCATTCTCACTCACTCTCTAAAATAAGTAAACATGCCCTCTGGTGAGAATTAAAAAAAGAAGCCCAACCAGTGTGGCTCAGTGAATTGAGCATTGTCCCATGGCTCAACAGATCCTGGGTTTGATTCCCAGTCAGGGCACATGTCCCGGTTGTGAGCTCGATCCCAAGTAGGGGGCATGCCAAAGGCAGCTGATTGATGTGTTTTTATCATTGAGGTTTCTATCTCTCCCTCTCCCTCACTCTCTACCTAAAAATCAATAAAAACATTTAAAATCACCCTAAATTCTGTTATTTTCATAGGAAATAATCACAACAGCAACTGGTAATCTAATTTAATTAATGGCACACAATAAGCTGGTGAATGGTAGTTATTTATAATAATTTCTAGATTGTACTCCAATGGTTAAATTTGATGGTCTTTGCAATTTTTCAAATCAGTTATTAAAAAACATCTCTTTGTTTAATGGTTATGGCAAAAGGGAATGAAGGCAGATGTTTTCTAAACTCAGGAAGAGTTTGCATGATAGACTAAGGTGGCACACGTGTGGAGGAGATGTGTTGGCACACCCACAATTGCCAGATATTTATTTCCTGGCTCTCTTTTTCCATACGTACAGGGAACCAAGACATAGTGTGTCATTAGCCAGGAGCTCCACATAAAGGGACAATTTAAATTGCCAACATCCATAAATGCAAGTCAAAGAAAGGAAAAATAATACCTAATGATTCATATTATTTTTCAGCATTTCCCTAGAGTACATTTGCACAGAATTAAAATCTCTGCTAGGTAAACCACTACAGGGATAATAACAAATGGAACACGATGTAATTTATTGAACATTTCTTTGCTATTATGTTTATAGATTGATTTTATTGGCTTCATTTTTTCCCCCGCTTCACTTTTTTTTTTTCCTTCGCATAAAAGACCAAGTAATTGGGTCTGTGAAAACCCCCCACAAATACCCACCTCTGTAGTGAATAAAAAGCCATTAACCACAATTAAGGAATTTTTTCTTTTTTTGCTGTCATTTGGTTCATGTTAGGATCCACTAAACCTTTCTGTGGTCTTACATTGTAAAACGTGGGTATTGCCTTTAGTTCTATTATGCTTTCCATCCTCAGTTCTAAACACATGAAAACAATGGTGAGCTTCATTGCTTAGAACAGTGGTGCTCAACCTTTCTAATGCCTCAACCCTTTAATACAGTTCCTCATATTGTGGTGACCCCCAACCATAAAATTATTTTCGTTGTTACTTCATAACTAATTTTGCTACTGTTAATGAATTGTAATGCAGATATCTGTGTTTTCCAATAGTCTTAGGCTCTTCAGCAGCAGTTCTCAACCTGTGAGTCATGACAGGTTAAGAACCACTAGCAGGGTCACTATAAGTACTTATATAGCAGGTATATAATAATAGTAAGTGTCATTGTTTTATATGCACGGGTCTCATCTCCAACTAGACTGCAAGTATCTTGCAAGTAAATTCCCTATGATATAACTGATTTTCCAATTTGTTTCCTCTTAGGATCTACTAATCAATAAATATACTTAGATTGATTAATTATTATCTACTAGAGGCCCCGTGTACAAAATTCATGCATGGGGATAGGAGGGAGACAGAGGGAGGGCCCCTCAATTTGGCCTGTACCTTCTTTAATCCAGGAACTCTCGGGGAATATCTGACAGTCGGTTTGTGCCCGCACTTTTAACAAATGACAGCTGTATTATTGTTTCTTTATTTTCATGCTTAATTCATTGGAATTAGTAGGTATTCAAAGTGTGTATACATTTTGGGGGGACACTCTGTATATCTCTAGTCAGTGGTGAAAGGAACCAATGGCGAATATGGAACCCCCAGACAGGTGCCACATCTGTGCAAGAAGCACACGGGCTCTGCAGGTTCCTATCAGCCTCCTTTCAATTGCTCTTGCCATGAAAGCAGCGTGTCCCAGAGAGGGCTGCTTCTCCAGCCCCGGCCCTGGAATGAGAAGCTGCAGGGAGCAGACCTGCAGTTGACCCACAACTTACAGCAGAGCTTACCAAGTCACAGCCCTTCTGTTTCATAGCTGAGAAATAACATATTTCAGTTCACTGATACTCTGGGTTGTTTACTACACAGAAAAGCTGATTAACACAGGACCTCAGAGTTCATCTAACTTCCTCTTTTGAAGAAAAGGAGAGAGGCCTAGATTTTTAGTTATCAAATGGAAGAGATATAACACAATTCAGACTTATTTTTAAAAATTTAAAAGTACAAAACACCTAGCTTTTTGTTATCCTAAAATTTGCAGGAATACAACTCAAATAGTTTAAAATTTGGGGCATTAATACTACCTATAACTGACCTCTGGGTCTGACATTTGCTTTTAGAAAGTATGTAGAAGATGTGAAAATAATAATAATAATAATAATAATGATATGTTATTATATCCTACATATGAGTGAGATCATGTGATATTTATCTTTTTCCAACTGGCTTATTTTGCTTAGCATAATGCTCTCCAGTTCCAAGGGGAGGGTATAATTTTTTATTAACCTATCTCCTTATACTTTTTGACATAAAATTTAGAGATATTTTCTAAATTAAGATGAAAATATCTCTGTCATTATGTGCTTCCGTATTTCAGAACTTTAACTTGGTCCTGAAATTTATGTTATCATATGATTTTATTAGAAATAAATCAATTTTGCTAACTCTGACACAGTCTGTAAAAATTCACACAAACTAAATTGCTCAGTTAAATTCTAAAGAAATTATTAAAACAGTACTTTCTTTTATATAATAACTAGAACCTCTGTGCACTAATTTGGCCTGGCTGATGATTGGGACTGATGGGGTCCATCTCGCCCAGTCCTGATGGGGATTGATGGGGGCTGAATAACAGGGGGAAGGGACCATGGGAGATTGGCTGGCTACAAGAGGTTGACTGTGGAAGCGCACTGACCACCAGAGGGCAGCTCCCACATTAAATATCTGCCCTCTGGTGGTCAGTGTGCATCATAGCTACCGGCCAGTCATCCAGTAGTAATGGTTGCTTTTATATATATAAATTTTTTGAGAGTAAAACCAGTCATGTGCAGTGATATTTTCCCATTTTTAAGAGGAAAACCAATACTTCAGTTAAGAAACGAATGTCATATAACTACCTTTTTTTTTTGTTGCTATTCATTGTGCTTTTTCAAACAAAGGAAACAAAATATAATAAACTAAATAGGATAACCAAGTGAATTTTCTTTTTCTGTACCGCCTCTCTTTTTATTTAGAACACACACAAACCTTACCTTTGTGAGAAGACATCCCGGTAAGGACTGCCATGCTGCAGTGCAATTCCGTATCCCCGATCAGCAACAGTGTTCCCGATGGTGTAGAAGGAGCAATCAGGGTCATTGATGGCTACATACTCCAATACAGCCGCATCCCACACAAAGGCATAGTTTCCATATTTTACCTGTAAAACATGGAGAACAAAAGAAGATAATAGGATTGAAGGTATGAATACCAAGTTATACAGAAAGGACAAAAAATTGCATTGGTACCTATTTAATTGTGCAAAAATAAAATAATAGGTCCCATATTTCTAAGCACCAATTCAGAACGAGAATTTGGCTTTTGGTTAATTTATAGCTCTGTTCTCCTGGAAGCTTGATACGGTTAGAATGTTAACTATGTTTCCCAGGCAACACAGCTTCTAGTAAAATGACCCCGTGTTATAAATGTCACCTGGACAGGGAGAACAATAAACATATGAAAGGAAGCCATGTCTTTGAGCTTCTTGGAATGCAGCACTTCTTGTAATTGGCCCTGTTTCTCTGGTGACCCTGGAAGCTATGCGTTTGGAGCTGTTACAAGAGATTTTGGCTTCTTTTGGTTATTAGGTTTCTAAGCCAAGTAGGCTTTGCTCGCACCAAATATGGGGATCATCTCCTTGCAAGTGACCTATATTCTAAATGAATGCTGCATGCACAACTTACATTAAAGAGAAATAATCAACACCACCCTGCTGGCAAGATATATATATTTTCCTATGTTTTAAATTAATACTTTTGCAGAGAATGGTTTATAACAATCTTACAGCTGGATTTAGAAGAAACTGCCTAGGTGAGCATTGCAATGAGAAAAAAAAAAAAAAACAGCATACTTTTTTATCATTATTTAGGAAACACAACTTTATTCTGGTTTGTTTATACTATCTTTTAGTGCTTATATATTTTTCTCTCAGTAATCACTCATTGCCTGGGTTGTAAATTTATAAAACATAAAAAAAAACTCTTTAAAAATAAAAATAACACAAAAAAACCAACTACCTTTATTGTTGGAAGTATGCAGATGTCCCCCTTTTCCCCTCATTGACCCTCCACCCTATACCACTACTGCCACCCTCCCGCCACCCCCAGACCCTCACCACACAATTGTCTATGTCCATGCTTATACATTCTTTAGTTAATCTCTTTCTCCCCCTCCCCTTCCCTAATCTTAAAGCTCATTTAGAAAATTATTATATATGAATATAAAAATTAATACATTCATTAAATAAACAGAATAATTATACAAAGCATTCAATTTGTTTCTTGAAAGGAAAGTCATTTCCTGGTATATCTGATTAGGAAAAATCAAAATAAATATAAATACAGATAGTTGAAATGATGTCAGCAAGACAGGGGGTTAGGAGATCCCCAGATTTAGTCCCCAACAGAAACAACCATATGACAGAAATCCATGAACAAAAGTGCCCTTATGAGCCTTGGGATCCAAGTTGTGGAACCCTGGTAGAGTCTAGGACTGAGGAAGAATACTTTGAGAAGTCAGGCCCATGGTTGGCTGATAATTGTGGTCCTGGATGCAGTCCCATAAGCAGCTCTGTTCCATTGTGGACTTGGCTCCCGATCTGTAAAGGTACAAGGCAAGGGTGCCCTGCTACTACTGCTATTCAATATAATCATGGAAGTGCTGGCCAGAAGAATCAGGTAAGGAAAAGGAGGATCCAAATAAGAAAGGAGGAAGTGGAATTATCTCTGTTTGCAGATGACATGATCATTCATGTAGAAAATTCTAAGGACTAAACAAAAAACGTTAAAACTAGTAAATCCAGTAAAGTATCAACATATATATATAGAACTATTCAAAGATTAAATTTGAAAAACATCCCATTTATAATAACATTAAAAAGAATAAAATACTTAGGAAGAAACCTAATCAAAGAGGTAAAAGATTTGTACCCTGAAAATTATAAAATAGTGATGAAGGAAATTAAAGAAGACAGGTAAATGTAAAGACATTCTGTATTCATGGCTTGAAACAATTAATATTGTTAAAATGTTCACTCAATGCATAGTCATCTACAAATTCAATGCCATCCCTATCAGAATTCAGTGGCATTTCTTACAGAAGTAGAAAAAAAAGTTCATGTGTAACCACAAAAGTTCAAAAATAGCCAAAGCAATCTGAACAAAAAGAACAAAGCTGGAAGCATAATGATACCTGATTTCAAAATATATTATAAAACCACAGAAATCAAAACACTGTAGTACTGGCATAAAACAGACATAGAGATTAGTGGACCAAAATAGAGATCCCAGAAATAGATTCACACTATAATGTTCAACTGATCTACAAAGATGACAAGGATATGCAATGGGAAAAGAGATGCTTCTTCAATAAATGGTGTTGGGAAAACTGGATATCCCACATGCAGAAGAATTAAATTGATCCCACATTTCACATCATATACAGAAACCAACTCAAAATCTATTAAAAACTTAAATGTAAGACTTGAAACCATAAAACCCCTAGAATAAAACATAGGAAACATAGGCAAAGCATCTTGATATTGGTCTGAACAATTATTTTTAATATGACACAACCAAAAACACAGGCAACAAAAGCAAAAGCTAAAATAAACCAATGAGTTTGGATCAAGTTTAAAAACTTCTGCACAGCAAATGAAATACTAAATAGAATAAAAAGGCAAGCTATGCAATGGGAAAAAATTGCAAACCCTAAATCTGGCAAGGATTTAATCTCCAAAATACATAAGGAATAACAAAAACTAAATAGCAAAAAAGCTAAATAACTGTATTTAAAAAGGAAAAAAACACATTAGTTAAGAAGACATACAAAAGACCATAGATATACAAAAAGATACACAGCATCACTAATCATCAAGGGAATAAATGTCAACAAAACTACAATGAGATATCATTTTACATCTGTCAGAGTGGCTATTATTAAGAAGACATCAGTATTGGTGAAAATGTGGAGAAAAAGGAACCTTTGCACATTATTGGAGGTGCGACTATTGTGGAGAAAGAGAGAAACATCAATGATGAGAGAGAATCACTGATTGGCTGCCTCCTGCACACTCCATACTGGGGATTGAGCCTGCAACCTTTGATCAGAATCGAATCTGGGCCCCCTCAGTCTGCAGGCTGATGCTCTATCCACTTAGCCAAACCAGCTAAGGCTGCTTTTGTTATTTTTCAAGTGCTTTTCAGCTCAAAATAAATATGCTGAGGGGCATATTTTGTGGTGGCATAATCTGCAATCCTTGATCACCAACTTTCATTATCAGTTTTTAGCTAGCTGGGTCTAATCCTAAAGTAACAGAGAGATAGATAGGAGTGACCTTGAAGCGTCCTCTAACAACCTACTTTGCTGTTACTTCTTTTTCAAACAGCCACTCAGGCCTCCTGGATCCCCTTGCAGCTTCTTTATAACCCTCAAGGGACCTCTTCTGTTTGGGACATATTGCTTTTCGTTTAGCAAATTGTTCTAACACTGTTGCAACTACTTGTGAACTGTAGAGCTCTACTTAAATGTATGGTAACATGATCATTGCTATTATATACATGTTTCTATTCTAACTTTAAGAAACATTGTGAGTACATTTTTTCAAAGATAACCATTAAAGTAGTATGATTATAGCCTGTAGCATTCTCAATAAAATACTGCATAGTAACCCCAACTATTTTAGCTTTTAAAAATATTCCTGGCCTTTTCATCTACTAAAACATGCAGTCATTATCCTTTGGATGGTTTTTAGCCTTAAATTGAAACTATCTAGAAAATAATGCATCAACAAAACCTAAAGTTACTTTTCAACAGAATACATAATTGAAGATTTGGTGCAGAAAATTTTCAATCCTAGGTGGATATTACTTCAACATTATCAACTAGTCTTAGTTCTGGAGCTCATGTTTGGATAAGTAGCTGAATTGATTTATTTACCAGGGGCTAGCAGAGTGCTTCAGACCAGGCTAACCAGAGGGCAAGTATGAACTTGGGAGCTCCATGTCAATATATTCCAGACCCATTTGTGAGGAAAAGAATCCAAAGTGACATCTACCTCCAATATTATCAATCTCTGGTTTGCAAAGGAGAGATGCCAGAATGCTGTGGTAATTGATGGACCTACTGATACTCAATGCCTGTATTCTCACAATAGTGCTGAGATGCCAATAGCTTATGAGACTTATCTCACTGCTGAGATAATGCTAGGATTTGTTCCATTTCTCCCATAGTGTGTTTTTAAATCCTCCCTCGCAAACAATTATTATCCATTAACTTTAAAATCCTGAATGTGAGTAAAATATGGGCCCCTCCCCTCAAGCTGTTTACAACTCAGTAGTAGGTGGAGATAAGTCAAACAGTAATTTCTGTAACACAAAACATGTTACAGTAAGTACTATGAAAGAAGCTTGAAGTGTTAATGTGGTTAAAGGAAAAGGAAACTTAATTTTCATGGAAGGGAATCAGGATAGCCTGCTCAAATATTCTGGCAACTGAAACAGTTTTACAAGAAAACCCCAGATGTCCAAGTTCCTTATATTTAGTGCATAACATTAAATATAGATACCCTTTGGAGACTATTTCTTGTTCATGAACACTCTTTTAACCTCCTAGTTTTCTGCAATTTTCCATCTGTCAGGTGAAGACTGTAAACATTCCATGTTATTTTTTTCAAATATTTGTCTTTCTTGTCAAGTAAACAGTAGGATGGGAAAATGTCTTTTCAAAATCAACACCTGTGCTCCTCACCATGTTATGGATTATGGCATATTTCTCTTCTGCTATAGAATCTTCCTGTCCCTTATGCCCGGTTCTAACATCTCTAGAGTGACTTATTGCTGAAGGTACCTTTCTTTACAATCCATTAAGCCACAGTCTTCTGTATAACTGCAAAAGCCAAGGCCATAAGCAAATAGATGTTCACTACTTTTGCATCGCTACCTATTATCCCAATGACTTTGCTTTTAATTAGGAAACTACATCCTTTTGCATACAAATTTTTAATTTATGAAATTCCTTAAAAACTGACTTCAAAATTTTCAGCTACAAAAAGACATCAATGATTATCCTTTTTTTTAATTAAAAAAACTAATTGGGCATGATTTTGGAAAGATGACATTTAAACAAAAGGGTAAGGAATATCCTTACTCTGTCATCCATTTC